TATATACTGTATTCTTACAATAAAGTAAGCTACATAAAAGAAAACATTACTAAGAAAATCATAAGGAAGAGAAAATACATTTACTATTCATTAAGTGGAGGTGGACCATCATAAAGGTCTTCATCCGTGTCGTCTTCACACTGAGTAGGCTTAGGAGAAGCAGGAAGAGGAGGGGTTGGCCTTGCTGCCTTGAGGGTGGGAGACAGAGGAGATCGACTTAGAAGTGGGCCCATGCCATTCAAACCCAGGTTCCAGGGTCAGCGGTCTGAAACTCTCTGCACTTTCTGCTCAGTTTTTTTCTGTAAATGAAAAGTGCTCTAAAAAAGCTGTTATTAGTTTAAAAATTATACCTTAGTTTTAAAAATTATGAAAAATTTTATACTATGCAGAAATATATAAAATAAAAAGTGAAGTCAGAGGATTTTACTAGCTTTTCAATCCCTTATTCTTCAGTTTACATAACCAATATTTAGAGTCCAAAGTTTAACATATTTCTTATAAGCACTATTTAACATATTTCTTATAAGTACTTTCTGTGGACATGCAGGTGTACAAGTAGATAATTTCTAAAAATTAAAATGTATCACACTTTACCTAACAATCCACAACATACATTCCCTGTCCACTTAGGTCCTCCTTACTCTTTTTCATGGCTGGTTGCCAGCCTCTGGGAAACTGAGTCAGGCTGCCAAGCGATGACTGTTAACTTGTTATTAAGTTGCAGGCTGCAATTAGGGTATAATACAAGTATGCACTGTGCAATATTTGGGACATGCATATACTAAAAATTTGTTAGTTCTTTATCTGAAATTCAAATTGAGCTGGCATCCTGTATTTTTATTTGCTGAATGTCACAACTCTCACCTCACCCTTCCTTTGGGCTTAAGCCAGGCTGGTTGGGTTTCTGAGTCTTGCAACCAAAGGGACCTCAATAGAAGCAGACAGTTGTGAAATAGGGGCTTAGACAGGTGACTCAACTTTAACTGTGACACAGACAAGATTAAAGTCTAATCCTTTTGATTATAAAAATTCATGTTTGACTAGGCATGGTGGCTCCTGCCTGTAATCCCAGTCCTTTGGGAGGCCGAGGTGGGTGGATCGTTTGAGCCCAGGAGTTCAAGATCAGCTTGGGCAACAGGGTGAAACTCCGTCTCTATATAAAAAAAAATACAAAAATTAATTCAGTGCAGTGGCACGCGCCTGTAGTCCTAGCTACTTGGGAGGCTACTTGAGATGGAGTCTTCTCTGTTGCCCAGGCTGGAGTGCAGTGACATGATCTTGGGTCATTGCAACTTCTACCTTCCAGGTTCAAGCAATTCTCCTGCCTCAGCCTCCCAAGTAGCTGGGACTATAGGCATGCACCACCACGCCCTGCTAATTTTTGTGTTTTTAGTAGAGTCAGAGTTTCACCATGTTGGCCAGGCTGGTCTTGAGCTCCTGACCTCAGGTGATCCTCCCAACTTGGCCTCCCAAAGGAGATTACAGGAGTGAGCCGCTGTGCCCAGCCCTGTTCCGATTTCTGCCTCCTTCCTTGCTTTTTCTCTGGAGTCAGTGTCAGGCTCAGCCCCTCCACCCTTGTGTCTTGTCTTGCTGCTGTAATTTAACTTGCCGATTAAAAATTGATGAAAATTTCCCCTCTGGAACTCTGAGAAAATGTTTTAAAACCCCGGTTGCAGAAAAATAAAGCAAATGGGAACACGTTCTAAATGACACATACAGT